GTAAGAAAAAATGAAAGAATGAGGGGGTATTTATAGTTGAAAATAGGGAAAAAGTATAATTATAAAAAGTTTGGGATTAAAACAAAGTTGGGGGGGTTATTAAATGGTCTCAGGCCTGGCGGGCCCAAATCATAGGACCGGCCCACGAGACCGGCCCGGGCACTCTAAAACTAGGCCAAACAGTCCTGGCCTGTTTAGCCCGTTTAGCCAGCTGTCCCGGGCCTGGACCGGCCCACTTGCCACCCTTAGTTTGACATAAGAAACATGGCAGAACAACTAGGTGTTTTTGGCTATTAATATTGTTGGAGTTTTTCTCATCTTGAAAGTTAGGGATTGGGAGAATTCAAAGAGTTTCTTCAAGTTTCTTCCATGGGGTAAGTTCTAAACCATAACTTAAGTATTTCCCTTTGATTCATTCCCTTGGTTTAAGCTTTAATCTATGATTTTAATTGAAAACCCATTTAATTTTTTTGATAAAGACCTAGGGTTATGTCCTAAATTTTACAAATTGAAAATGAGTTAGAGGCGTTTATTTCCAGATTCCGTTTGGGGTTTTGTTATCCTATATTAGCGAAATAACATACTCGAATTTGGCAATTTTTGGAGGAGTATTTCGGGAGTTATGGGACCCAACTAGTGTGGGTTGGACTCTTGGGTTATGAACACCCAAGTGCAATATTTTGGCAAATTGGTTGAGCTATCGGACTCCGATTGAGTCGATTTTTATTCGTGTGAGCTTGTATTGGTTCGCGCATCGCTAGGGTATGCTTGGATTTGGAATCCAAGGCGATCTCAGTGTTAATTTTTGTTGACTTTTTGGGAAAAATATAAAGATCATAGCTTTATTTATTGTGATTGCTTTCTCTTGAATTGTTTGATATTATTAAGTCATTTTTTGTTAGATTTGAGCCNCCCTTAGGATATGGGTTGATCGTGTTGTTTGTGTTATGTGAAAGCCGTGTACGCAAGGTGACGAGCGGGTACACATGCTACATGTAGTATTTGACTGATTTAGATTAGCTAGACTCTTTCCATGCCTTTAATTGAATTGTCATTAACATGTTATATCTCTTATTGTTAATCTACTCTTACATGCTCTATATGACATTGGTAGCACTTGTTCTACCTCTTACTTGTTATTTTGCTCTTATATGTTTTAGTTGAAGTTATTGCCTTCCTTATTGTCTTGTTACTTCTTAATTGTTGAATCATAGTTAATTGAATTTTTTATTTTGTGGAATATCATCTTGTTGAGTTATTGGTGTTGAAGTTGTAAAAGTCGTTATCACATTGAGGCGAAGTTGTTAATTGTTGAGATACCTTTCCTTGTTGAGCATTCTCATTCATTTTGTTATTGTTTAAATTCTTGTAAATATTGTGATTGAGACATGGGATATTTATTGTGGAAATATTGGTTTTGTTGACTTTGTGGCAAGTTGTGGCATATGGGCACTTGTGTTACGAGTTGTGATTGTGTTGTAATATTGATACGCATGTGGAGGTATAAGGCTAGGGTTTGATACGCATGCAGTGAGATAAGGTGGGCTTGATATGCGGGTTTCTAGTAGGGAAACTACTTGAATCCACGCGGTGAGATAAGATGGGGGTAAAACACGTGTAGCTAGTTCGAGAAAAAATAATTTTTAAAACTAAACGTAAGGCTCACGCGGTGATATAAGGAAAGATTGTGATTGAAATTATGAAATGTGAATACGATGTGGTACCTCGGTTGTGATTTTCATTGTACATTCCATGTTAGAATAACTTGTTGATTTGAACGGTCATTGTTCTTCCTTTAATCATTCATCTGCATTTTGATTGTATTTGGTTATTCGTTGTTATCTTGGTGTTGGAACGATCATGGATTCTTGTGTGAGTCATGCATTCTATGTGATTTGTTATGTGCTTTAACATGCCAATTTGTGCCTCCGTTATAACTTGGTGAATTGACTGTCAATGTGAATTTAATTGCGTTGAGTCGCTATATCACATTTTGTTGAGTTGTTGGTAACATAATGGTTTAAATAAAAGAATTATTAACATGTTTTATTCTATGTGCCTCTTAAGATAGAACTCGTTATCTCACTTGGTGCCTTATTATTCTAAATGGTTATCGCATTTTCACTACAATTGGGTTCTCAAATAATACTAATCACCTTGTTAGATGTTTACTTTACTTAAAATTGTTATCATTTTTTCCTTATCAAATTCTATATTTAATTTGTTAATTTAACTTATGTTTTTCTTTGTTTAAAAATGATACTTTTATTCAATTTTATTGATTTCTAAATTAAACCCATCCTATACTCTGTTTCGTACAAATTGTATATTATTTACTTTACTTGATTTATAAAATTAATTTATTATCTCATTTGACACCTTACTTTATTCAAGATTGTTATTATTATATTTTATGGTATTAAAATATACCTTTTGTTCATCTAAATTAATATTTATAACGGTAGCAAAGTACATGGTAGCACGTGGGCTTTGTTGTGCGAAGGTAATTGTTATTATGGACACGAGGTGCCATATGTATAAGATTTGGAAATTGTAGTCCATGACTTGTGGTTTATGAGGAGTGGTGCCTCGGGGTAATTCTTGTTGTAATTCCATACGTTGGGAGCGATTTGATTATTTGAGTTGTCATCCGTTTTTCCTTATTTGAGTTTATTTACATCTCATCGGTGTTCTGATTATGTTGTTTCTTTATTACTCGTTTACTACTTGCTGCCATTTATGTTTCTATTACTTCATTGTTGGTTGTAAATCAATAATATTTTCGCCGTTGGTCTTACATTGATGTTCTTTCCATTGTTAGCTTATGTATATTTTGAACAGGTTTCTATGTCTAGTAGGTGTCTTGACCTGGCCTCGTCAATACTCTGCCGAGGTTAGGCTTGATACTTACTAGGTACCATTGTGGTGTACTTATGCTACGCTTCTGCATATTTTTGTGCAGATCCAGGTATTCTAATTGTGTTATTGAGAGTTGCATCTACGCGGCGGGAGACTTCAAGATATACCTGCTTGACGTTCGCATGCCTCAGAGTCACTATCTTACTTTATTATGCTACTGTTAAATTCTAATTCAAAACAGTATTTTGTTTTGGAATTCTAGTGTGTTTTAGTAGTGCTTATGACTCCATACTACTGGTTTTGGGAAATGTATAACTATTGGTCACTTGCGGCTATGTATGTCATTTAATGGTTTATGATAAATGATTAAATAGTTCAATTCTGTTATTAAATCAGCATGTGTTAGGCTTACCTAGTTTTAGAGACTAAGGGCCATCACGACATCCTAAGGTGGGAAATTAGGGTCGTGACAATAACTGGGCACTTCGAGCTGAAACAGCACATGGTGCAGCTGATTCAATCCACAAGGCAATTTGTGGGTTTGTCAAATGAAGACCCGCAAAGGCACATACAGAATATTTTGGAAATTACGGATACATACAACTATCCGAACGTCTCCAAGGACTATGTTAGACTGACTTTGTTTCCCTTTTCTCTATTGGGGGAAGTAAAGGAATGGTTGAACAAAGAGCCATCAAACTCAATCCGCACATGGGATGATCTAGCACGGAAATTCCTTATCAAATTCTTTCCCACAAAGAAAACAAAGTCACTGAGAAGCCAAATTCTGGGGTTTCAAAAAAAAAATGGCCAGACTCTGCGTCAAGCCTAGGAGAGATATAAAAAGCTACTCAGAGATTGTCCGCACCACTATCAAACTGATGAAGTGTTGGGATATACTTTTGTGGATAGGTTGGACGAGACCTCCAAATTGAGTTTAGACTCAACTTGTGGAGGTAGTTGCATGCAAAAGACATACAGTGAGATTCAGACTCTACTAAATAATTTCACTACAAACGATCATAACTGGCAAGGTGAGGGTGAACCAAGAAGAATGATAAGACAATTGGTAGTAGGTATACTCGAGCAGGATGAGATGTCAGTCAAGCGAGCAGAGATTGCTAAACTGACCAACCAAGTGGCTAAGATAGCAATGGGGCAAGGGCATCAGATGCAACAGGTGCAAGGGATGGCCATATGTTGTGAAATTTGTGGAGATGGTCACATGAGTGACCATTGTTCGGTGAATTCAGAATCTATTTATTATGTGGGCCAGTAGGGTAGAGGTCCAACGAACCAAAATTCACAATATGGGAACACTTATAATCCTAACTGGAGGAACCATCTGAACTTCTCATGTGGTGAAAATTAGACTACTCAAAATTAATACATACCCTAAGGAAACTACAATCAGCCCCAAAAGCCACCCCAACAGGTAGAAGAAAGCACCAATGATAAGTTGAAAAAGTTATTAATTGACAACCAGTAACTGAGTACTGATTTTTGAAATATAGAGAGGCAGCTTGGGCAGTTGGCTGCTCATTAAAATAACCGGCCTGCAGGGGACCTTCCAAGTGAAACAGAGAATACTCCTCAAGTAAATGTTGTAACTTTGAGGAATGAAAGAGAATTGGAAGAAGTACAAAAAAGAAAGAAAGAAAAAGTCACTCCTGAAGGCGAACTGGTTCCTACAGTTATGGTGGAAACTGAGAAAGAAACTAAGGAAAGTGAAAAGACTCCAATTGCAAGTCCACCCCCTCCTTCCCATAGATATTGAAAAATAAAAGTGATGACAGAATGTTCAACAAATTTCTTGATATTTTGAGCCAAATCCAACCGAATCTCCCATTAGTTGATGTGTTACGTAAAATTCCAAAATATGCTAAGTACATCAAGGATATTGTGGCTAATAAAAGAAGATTGATAGAGTTTAAAGCAGTAGCACTTACTGAAGAGTGCACATCACAAATTCAAATGAAGTTGCCCCAAAAGTTGAAGGATCCTGGGAGTTTCACCATCCATGTTCGAATTGGTGAGGCAGATGTAGGATGACACTTTGTGATTTAGGGGCTAGTATAAATTTGATGCCCCTCTCGATTTTCAGTCAGTTGGGGTTAGGGTCCCCAAGGCCCACCATTTTCATGCTGCAACTTGATGATAGATCTATTGTCCATCTCGAGGGGTTGATAGAAGATGTGCTACTACAGATTGGGCAATTTATTCTTCCAGCAGATTTCATTATATGGGACTATGAAGCCGATGAACACGTCCCCATCATCGTGGAACGAACTCTCTTAGCTACCGCTGATGCTGTGATAAAAGTACGTAAAGAAAAAATTATTCTCCAGGTTGATAATGTAGAAGCAATCTTTAATGATACAAGGCAATTCAGCTTCCAAGTCACTATGAGGATCTAGCTATGATCTTGGTGGTTGAAAAAGAAGAAGAAAAAAATGACATGGGTGCATATCTAGATGACTCTCTAGAGAAAGAATTTATATTGTTCGACAATATTAACTTGGATGATGAGGTTAAGGAGATGGTGCATCATCTTGATGCATGTTCTTACATCAAAGGAATGATCAATTTCGAGCCTCTAGATAGACCGACCGGGCCACCACCCAAGTCGTCCATCGAAGAAGTGATCGCGTCCAAATGCACACCTTAAAAGAGGTATGAAACGGTCGTTTGCAATAATAGAAACCCAACTAAGAGTCGGGGTCGAATCCACAGAGAGCTAAGATGGGAGTTAGGGGTATATATTTAAATGTGCGTGATTGAATTATCTAAATTGTACTTTCACAAAAAGATTAGTTTTCTATTTCTATTTTTACTCTATTGATTTCAAAATAAAGAAAGAAGACTAGAGATAATTGTTTTTGAGTTTTTTCCAAATTGATAAAGAGCCTAGGGTTGTGACCATTACTTGGATGTTTGCCTACTGGGATAAAGACTTTAATGCTTGTTCTGTTGATTAGGGTGTATTATAGCTATAAACTCTAAATTACCCACTCAATACCTCTCGGTCAGAGAGGGATTTTGCCCAATTTGGCTTTCTCAAGACCAAATGGGTTTCACACAAAACAGTCAATAAAATCTCAAGTCGGGTTAATACTATCTCTAGGTTGAACCATTTAATTGGGTTAATCAATCTCTTGATCGACCCAATTCCTTGTTAGCTAAGTTATCCTAGACTAGGTCTCTCTTTCTCAAGGAGAGACTAAGTCGAATAGACATGACCTAATGTTTGCAACCATTAATTCCACAATTAAAGCATGAACTAAGCTAAATAATAAACACCCAATCATAAACAAGCACTAAATTAGATACCCTTAAGGTTTACACAATAGGGTTGGGTCACAACCTTAGTAAACATCTAGTTACTCATACTTGGGTTTGAAGAAAATAGAGAATAAAGACTAATTAAACTCATAATGAATGCTTAAAATGATTAAAACTATTGTAAAATACACCAAAGCAAAGTAAACTTCCAAAAATGGCAAAGAAAAATGGCTATAGTAATTGCAGAGGTTCAAACTTGACCTAATTTTGTGAAACTCGTCTATTTATACAAGGCTCAAAATCTCACACAAAAATACCCCTCGGGAGGTTCTGCGGCCGCACAATTCCATGTGCGGTCCGCAGATTTCTTCATCTGACAGGAGCTGGAGTTCTGCGGCCGCACAATTCTGAATTGCGGTCGCGAAGCAACTTTTCTGTGGTCCGCAATGTTAGGGTTGCGGCCGCACAAATATTGTACGGTCCGCAATTCACTGAGGTTCTGGACTTGGTAATTTTCATACTCTCTGATCTTGACTTCTAGCCCAGCTTTTGTAGCCGCACAATTCATGTGTGGTCCGCAATTTGCACAATTATCTGCAGATTTTTTCCTTCTTTGTTTGCGGCCGTAGATGGAATTCTGCGATCCGCAATTTCTTCTCCGGACCGCACATTTTGTGCTTCTGTGCCCTTTATTGCCTTGTGCTTAGACTGCTCCTTTTTTAGCTGAATTTCATCTCGGGAGCCCAACTTCCAGTATTTCTGCAATTTTGCACAATTTCATTTGTTTCGGGCACACAATTCAATGTTTTTAGACTAAAACAAAAGTTAAAAGGTGCTAATAAGTAGTCAAAATTCCAACTTATCAAGAAGCTCCCAAATTGGAGCTCAATCTCTTACCCTCTAACCTTAATTATGCTTATTTGAGTGCTAATAAAACTTTACATGTTGTTGTATCTTCTAAGTTGTCTGTTTTGTAGGAGGAAAAAAATGCTTCGCGTGCTTAGAGAGCACCAGCTTGCGATTAGATGGACCATGGCTGACATTTGTGGAATTATCCCATCGTTTTCTATGCATAAAATTCTCATGGAGGATGGGTACAAACCAAGTGTGGAACACCAACGCTGCTTGAATCCAGTCATGAAAGAAGTGGTAAGAAAGAAAGTTATAAAGTGGCTAGATGCAGGTATTATCTTTCCCATCTCTTACAACAAATGGGTAAGTCTAGTATACGGTATGCCTAAGAAGGGTCGAATGATGACGGTAATAAATGAGAATAATGAATTAATTCTAACTAGAACTATCACCGGTTGGAGAATTAGATATACTACTGAAAATTAACTAATCCTACTAGAAAAGATCACTTCCCCCGTCCCTTCATTGATCAGATGTTAGATGGGTTAGCCAGACAAGACAATTATTATTTTCATGATGAATATTCCATCTATAATCAAATATCGATTGCACTAGAGGACAAAGAGAACACCACCTTCACTTATCCTTATGGCACGTATGCTTTTAAGCGAATACCATTTGGGTTGTGCAATACACCTGCGACTTTTCAAAGGTGCATGATGGCAATCTTCACTGATATGGTAGAAAAAATTGTTGAAGTGTTTATGGATGATTTTTCGGTCTTTGGACCATCTTTTGATGAAGGCTTAACGAATTTGAGTAAAGTACTTGCCATGTGTGAAAATACAAACTTCGTGCTAAATTGGGAGAAATGTCATTTATGGTACGAGAAGGAATTGTACTAGGGCACAAAGTGTCCAAAGATAGGTTGGAGGTGGACAAGGCAAAAGTGGGAGCAATTGACAATCTTGCACCTCCAATCTATGTCAAAGGAGTCAAAAGCTTTATGGGTCATACAAGTTTCTATTGCAGATTCATTTAAGATTTCTCTAAGATTTTCGCTCCCTTGTGCAGGTTGCTTGAGAAGGACACATCTTTCAAGTTTGATTAGCATTTCTTGAAGGCGTATGAGGAGCTTAAAAAGAGATTGGTAATTGCACCAATTATCACTGCCCTGGACTGGGGTGAGCCTTTTGAGTTGATGTGTGATGCCACTGACACGGCAATCGGGGCCGTACTGGGCAAGAGAAAAAATAAAGTGTTCCACTCAATTTACTACGCTATCAAAACTTTAAATCTAGCACATATAAATTACACGGTTACAGAAAAAGAGTTACTAGTGGTAGTATGGGCATTTGACAAATTTAGGGCCTACATGGTGGGAACTAAAGTCATCGTCTACACAGACCACGCAGCCATCAGATATTTGTTTGAGAAAAAGGATGCTAAGCCTAGAGCAATTAAATGGGTTCTTCTTTCGCAGGAATTTAATGTGAGAATTAGAGATCGAAAGGGGACTGGAAATCAAGTAGTCGATCACTTGTCGCACTTGAAAACTTGCGCACATATTGATGAAGAGGGCAAGATTTAGGTAAACTTTCCTGATGAGCAATTGTTAGCCATCACATCAAGAGCGGCCCCATGGTATGCTGACTATGTGAACTTTATTGTAAGTTGGGTGACTCCTTCAGAGTTGTCACCATATGGTAAGAAAAAAATCATGCATGATGTTAGATTCTATCTATGGGATGAGTCATTTTTGTTTAAGCATTGTATATACAAGTTGGTGCGCCGATGTGTCCATGAGGATGGGATGGAAGTAATTTTGCATGATTGTCACGCGTAACCTTATGGAGGGCACCATTGTCACGACCCAATTCCCACTATAGGCCGTGATGGCGCCCAGCGTCGCCGCTAGGCAAGCCAACATCCATTTAGTTGTTCATTTGAATATTTTTAAAGCCATTGATTTTACTTAATAAAGAAACTAAGAGTAAATGACCGTAGTGATATAAAGCATAAAATAAACATAACAGTGGAGTAGAAAAATTTATAGACAAAATCCATGAATATCTACTAGCAATTCCCAAAACCTGGTGTCACAAATACATGAGCAGTCTAGTAGAATATACAAAACCCCTACAACTACTGTCTGAAGCAAAATAGACAGAAATAATAAATATAACAAGAGGAGGCTCCGGGTGCTGTAGAACGGAGCATGAAAAGCAGCTCACCACTAGACCTCCAGGTGATGTGGATGCGTGCCTGGACGGATACCAAATGTACCTGCCTCAATGCCTGCACAATTTGTGCAGAAGTGTAGCGTAAGTATATAAACAATGTGTACCCAATAAGTATCTAGTCTAACCTCGAAAAAGTAGTGGCGCGGGATCGACATCGACACTTACTAGAGGTCAAATAGAGTACATGAATTATAAATAGGCATGAAATACAACAGTAACAATGGAATAAGAAACGATAAATAATTATTATGTAACATAATATCAATTTAAAACCTCCAACTATCACATGCCAAATTTTTAACACATAAGAGCCACCAAGTAATTATCAAGTCTCAAGTCAAGAAAGAAGATCAAGTATAATCGGACTCCTAGCAATATCATGCACGATTTATGCCAAGGTCGTATGGCCCGATCTAGAATAGTGTGTACACTGTCGAGGGTCGACCGACGCGAACCATAGATGCATCAAATATATTGCCGAGGGTTTGGCCCGATACATAGGAATAGAGAAACTCTACAAACTCCGATCCACGACTACTACATAGGAATAGTACTCAAAGAAGGTATAATTTCTGCTAACAATCAAGTATTCCGCCAAAACTCAAGGTAATGAAGCTCGGTCTCATAAAATCCTTTATCCAATTTCAATTATAAATTTAAGTAATTAAACTAACAAGTTGGGTGCAATTAATACAAGGAGTGCATGGTAAAGTCCTAAGTCTACCCGGACATAAGCATGATTTTTAGCTACATACGGGCTCTCATCACATCGTGCGTACGTAACACCCATAATTATTATCAAATAACTATTAAAATACCTCCGGGGATAATTTCCTCTTACACGGTTAGGCAAGAGACTTACCTCTTGATGCCGCAGATATCCGCTTGCGGTCGCACATTAGCCTCCGCACTAACAGGATCAAACTTCAGAGAGTTACATTTTTACACTTTTGCAAGATTCCAATTGTGTGGTCCACATGAGAAATTTGCGGCTGCGAATGCCGTCCTACTGTGGCACACAGAAATGTGTAGTCCGCACAAATAAAGTGCGGTCCACTGATCCTCTTGAAAGAAAAAGTACCATAGGGACATACAAAGGTTGTTTTCTCTTGATCTTTCGGGGCAATGAGAATTTGGTTGTAGCCCGAGTACCCATCAAGAAAGCAATATAAAGCACGTCCGGTCAATATATCGAGCATTTTTATCTAATAAAGGAAGTGGAAAGTGATCATTCCTTGTTACTTTGTTGAACTTGTGATAATCCATACACACCCTCCAACTGGTCACCGTTCTCATAGAAATCAATTAATTCTTATCATTGCTGACCACCATCATGCCCCCTTCTTTGGGACACATGGAGCCGGAGAAGTCCATGAACTATCGGAAATGGGGTAAACAACCCCGGTATCCAACCACTTAATAATCTCCTTCTCGACAACTTCTTGCATAGCCTCATTGAGTCTTCTTTGATGTTCAATAGATGGTTTAGCTCCATCC